AACTGGAGAAACATCATCAACAACTGGGAAAACAATAAGAAGGCTTGTACTAGGTCACTTCACCCAATTGCTGAAACTCTCTAGGGGAAAGATAGTTCAAATCTGAAATGCAGAGGATAGTGAGGAAAGTATTAATTTGGTATGATTAATTTGGGAAGTCTCATAGGGTGGAGGAATATGGTGAAGTCCAACAGCACTCTGAAGACACCAGGCTCCATGTGGCCCATAAGGGAAATGAGAAGGTGCCAAAATCCCACTCTGGCTCTCCCGATCAAGGTTGAGCAAGTCTTCCCCTACCTTCTTCCTTTTGTTTTCACCTGCTCCTTCTCTATTCTCAGAAGAATAGGCAGCCAGTGGCTGTGAATGAATTCCAACTTACTAACTTGTACAGAAAAAGGCAGATCACAGGCCCAAGTGGGCCCAGAGGCACTGCCTTTCTCCTGTGGCCTCTGTCTATACCATTTGGTTTCTGGGGCTCAAGGTAGCAATGGTCAAGGAGAGGGGACCTAGAACAGAGAAAGAAGGATTAGGTGTGGCCTTATTTATTAGTCCACTCACTGTCCTTTTGCCGTGGAGGGACAGAGCTGTCACCAAGATGCCCAGAGAGGTCCCTAACTGGTTGCACCCAGAGCCACTCCATTCCCAGCGCAGTTTGGTCCCGCATCAATTTTTAAATGCATGGAAAAGCCTTAAAGGCAAATGTACTCATGTTCACAGTTTTATTTATTCTTACCTTTTTTTTCCAATTCAATGTTGAGGTGTAGACCAAAAACTATTAGTATAATAAAGACTAATTATTTTTACAATGCCTTTAGCATGTGCTGATTTTTTTTTCTTGGCTCACAAAAAAGGTTTTGCTTTATTGTGCAGGGAAAAAAAACAAACCCTACATACAGCTCTGAGTCACCCTGAGTCAAAAAGGTGGTCTATCCTCATCACCTCATTAGGATACTTGACAATAATTCACAGATCTTTGGAGATGATCAGCAGGCTTTCAAATGCTGCCTGGGTTAGTGATAAACACTATATTTTTAAAAATAGTGTAACTGTTAGATTGTTCCCTGGAGCAATTAGCCGGTGTTGCTTGCCCTACAATGCCCTGCTTCTATCCCCAGAGACTAAGCATTTGGTCTGTCTGCTCAGAATTATCGTGTATTTCCTTCTTCCCTCTACAAAGGTCACCAGATTCCTTTGTGAACAGTGGGCATCAAACAGCCATTAAAAAATAAAAAGAAACCTAAATATGTACACAATGCAGCTGTTAATATTTCTCAAGAGCACCGAGTCGTATTGAGTCATATTATATGAAATTATAAAATACTATCAGCAAAGGGCACTTTAGATACCATCATAGTCATTTTGTAAAGTTCAATTTGGCAATTCCAGGCTGCATTTAATTTTCTCTGAAAATTCCCACACGGCAGAAAGATACTGCTCTTTGTGGCTTTCAAGTCTATTTCAGAGACCTGTAAAACCACCACCTTTTGGAATTAGCACTTTTCCTATAAATAGACACTACATCACTTATACCAAATAAAGTTACATATGTGTTTTCGTTAATATAAATACTAAAATAGTAAGCCGTTTTCCTATATAACCATTCTGGGATTTATGAAAATTAGAATTCTGCATTACAGTTTTGTCTGAACCATTTGTAGTTCTTCATCTTCACTGATAGGGGGGGCTAGTAATTTCTGTATTAATTATAATATTTTAGCATGGTAAAATCTATATCTAGATGCAGCAGATACTTCAAAGCTTCAAAACTGATGAAACTGCATACTTCTCTTTTAAGGGATAAAACTGTTTGCATTAATATGTGAAATATACTACTAAAACACCCCCTGCTGATTTCATAGGCTTTGCAGGGAGTTATGCATAATTTTCTGAAAATTAAAGGACTGAGGATCAGTATTTATGAGATCTCAAGAACTATTAAAAACTTGGAAGAGTCTCCTAAAATGGAATTTTAAAAATTCAGCTCAACAGTTATTTAACACATGCCAGAGGTAAAACAGCAGAGTAGACTCAGAAGGTCAGAGTTAGAAATTCAGCGGCATGCTTACCCACACCATAATCGTGCTCATCTAATGTCTTTGTAAACCTGCAACACAGAATTGAAATGAGAATTAAGTGAAATAACTTGGGAAACTGTTTTGTAAATAATAGGATGTAACCTCAGAAATGCAGACTGTTGAGTGTAGCATGCGATAAGACAAGAATTCTCCTATTTAGATGTGAGGATCAATTCTGTGGAATCCACAAATTCTTCAAGTAAATGTGTTTTTACTCCTTTTAATTTTGTTTGTGTTTTTACCTTGGTGTTATTCTTTTTAAAAAAGTTCATGGAGCACATTCTAGATCTTCGAAATATCCTCCTTGCAACTGCCATGCAACATATATTCAAGATGCATTAGTGCCAAGTAATTCAGCTTCATTTGTTTCCAAGTTATTGAAAACAGATACAAACTGACTCTAACATGTAGCTTCTGTGTTCTTCCGAGAGAAGGGCAAGGCACATGGGCAAAAATTCTGAGCAGAGATTTGGTAGTAATGTAGATCTAGAAACCTGATAAGAAAATCATTACATGGTACACCATAACCTTAGTAAGGTGAACTTTTAAGAAAACAGAATCCCGCCAGTCTGCATTAAGAGCAGTGATTTAACACCCTGCATCATTTGTACTGATGTTGCAGCTTTGCAGGTATTTATTGTAATTTAGTTACATAGCCATATGAAAACTGTAAACTGAAGCTTATACTGAGATTCATATTCCATTTATTTAAATAAAATTTTAGGGGCGCCTGGGCGGCTCAGTTGGTTAAGCATTCGACTTCTGCTCAGGTCATGATCTCATGGATTGTGAGTTCACACCCCACATCTGGCTCTGTGCTGACAGCTCAGACCCTGGAGCCTGCTTCAGATTCTGTGTCTCCCTCTCTCTCTGCCCCTCCCCCCTCATGCTCTGTCTCTCTGTCTCAAAAGTAAATAAACATTAAAAACTTTTTAAAAATAACATTATAAAAGTAACATCCATTAGTTAAAAATACTTTAATACTTGAGGGGTGTGGCCCATGATATCAGAACTCAGAAAAGAAAAAATTCTAGTTAAATCTTCTTTCTGTACTTTGCTCTGTGATCCTGGGTAAGTCAAATGACCTCCTTCACAGTAAAATAAGGAAAGTAATCTTGTTCACATAGGAACACTCTGAGGGAGTAAATGAAATAATTAATGTAACTCTGAATGACTGTAGTCCCAGGTATAGTATGTTGTGGAAAATAAGGACACTGAATCAAGAGAGTTCAGGCTTTCAAACTACATTTTATACTGCCTTGGGCCAATGGCCTTACCTCTATGAGAGTCACCCCCCCAATTTTCTTAAGCTAGGAGGTGTGTCAGATGATCTCACAGTTTTTAATATAGGTGTAACAGAAAGTGGTTGGGTTTCCCATTGAGATTTCAATGGAAATTCCATTGATTTGATTTCACTCATATCATATCCCCAGTTACTTGGTTTTCTATTAGCTTGATTTTAAGCTTACTTCTCAGAAAAATAAAAAATGTTGTGATTTACTGTGGTCAATGCAGCAATTTACAAAAACAGGGCCAGAAAAGCTAAATTCTGTTATCTAGCAGAGAGATTTCAGTCTTTCTTTGCTTTTTTTTTTTCTTGTTATAATAGAAAGACAAACTCATTCAATGTACTTAGATGTAACCAATCACGGCAAGTCAAACCTCTCTACCTTGACTACAACTGCTTAAAAGGCAGGCTCTGGACACAGACTTATGGATTAAAATCCTGATTCCACTACTTATTAGCCCTACAGCCTAGGAAAAAATTGCTGAACCTCTCTAAGCCTCTATCTTTGTAACAATGATAATAGTTGCAAAGCACTCAGCTGTGAAGCCTGGTATTTTGGGAAATTTAGCTATTATTAGTACTGTCATGTTTATTTCCCTTCCTCTTTATCCTTACGTTTCCGGTTACTGCAAGAAGGGAGCATCGTAGGGCAATAAGAAAGCTTTGGGAAAGTAAACAAGGAGTGGCAACCGGTACTCAATGCAAAGGCAGAAGACTAGAAAGAACAGCCACCACACAGGTCTAGAAACTTAGACTGGATGTGGACTCCACAATTTTCTAGCTTTGTGGATATCAATTAATTTATATCACCTAAGTTTTTGTTTCCTTCCCTCAGACCTGAGACTAGGAATACTTACATCATGGCACTAGTGAAAAGCTCAACAACCGTTATTCGATATACACGAAAACACTTCCTAAACTCTCAACAAGGCGGCTTTTCTCGTTGACAGGATACGTTTAGAAGGGTCAGAAGAACTGGATTGTACTTCTAGCGTTCTCACTATTCACTGTGCTCAGATTGTTTAACCTTCTGGGCCGCGATCACCTGCTAGATCATTACAGCAGTAACGGCCACCATTGATTGCGGGCTTGCCACATGCCGTGCATTGCACTATGTTCTGAATCTGCACACTTGGCGACTTTCTCACTTAGAGCTTGCAATTTTAAGGCAGATACATCCATTTCACAGATGAAAAAACTAAGGCGGAGAGAAGTTAGAAACCTTCCATCCGGCACCTGCAGTGCTAAGGTTCTAAAAACAGATACCAAAAAAGAGAATTGTTAGCCACCAATAGTTTTGCCTCTAATCACTGTCTTTCCCACGATTACCCACAGAGGGGAACTAGGCTCGTCCAAGCGCCAGGAGAATTCGCCAAGGCGTGAGCGGAGCTCCCCCATCCTCAGATCCGCCCCTGCGCTTTCCTGTCTAGGCCCCGCCCCGCCCCGCCTCGCCCCGCCCCCCGGGCCGCTCTCCCACCAGGAGAGGCCCCGCCCACAGGAGGAAAAGCAGCACGCACCCAGCCTGCACCGCGCTTAGCTAGACGCGGAGCAGGAGCTCCGGGTGAGCCCGGATTTCCGGTCTGTCCTCTTCGCTTCCGGCGGGGTTCACCGGCCAATGAGATGAACTTGGGGGCGGGCCTTAATGCTCCCGGCTCCCACCCCGCCCTCCCCGGTGACTTAAGAACAGCGCGGAAAAAATCAGCTAAGAGGCCTTGGTGGTTCCTTGGGGCACGTGATGGCTGCTTCTGGGACGCTGAGCACTTTCCGTCTTCCGCCGTTGCCCACGATTCGAGAAATCATTAAGTTGTTCAAGCTGCAAGCAGTGAAGCAGCTATCCCAGAACTTTCTCCTGGACTTGAGGCTGACAGGTGGCTGTCTTCTCAGTGACACCCCCCGTCCCCCGCCGCTGTCTCCCCGGAATCGCTGGGGACGCGGTCCCGGGGTCTGCGCGCCGACCCTGCGGGCGGGTATCTGGGGTCAGGCGGGGTGCAGTGGGCCTTAGTGTAGGTCCTTCTACCGCTCTGTGCCAGGAGAAATCCGGAGCGCCGCCCAGAGACGCGGGGAACGCGTTTGCTCGCTGAAGGGCGTGCTCGGGGGCGGGGGTCGTGGGCCCGGGCAGGCAGGTGGGGCCGACGCCCGCGGAGGCAGGGGGCGCGAATCGTGACAGGCGCTTGTGCGTGAACACTAGCTTTGCTTTTCATGCGGTCCGAAGTTAGAATTTAAATTAGTGCGGGGCGGTTTTCGATAACACGTCGAAGAGTGTATCGTTTACGGGATCATGTATTTAAACGTTTGCTTGGTGAGCCTAAAACCCTCGGGGGCGCAAACATTCAGTAAAATACACATCAAACAAGCTACTGGGTGCTGGTGCGGGAGGGAACAAGGCAAAGTCTGTCCGCATGGAGCTTAAGTTTCTTCTTTAGTAAGCTTCCATTGTTCCCACCCCGGATTTTAAGTCGCTTTTTAGGTGGTAAGATTTACGTGCAATTTAGTGAACTAGTTTGAGATGCAGTTTGATGACGAACGTATGCTTTTGTTTAACCATCACTCCTATGTCGGTGATTTCTTCTAAAAGGTGAGGTTGCAAGAAATCCCTGCCTTACAAATGTGCTCACTAATTCACTGTTGGAGTACCGTATTCGATATTGATATTCCATTTGGCTCCTTTCAGAAGCTGACAAGATCAGCGAATCTTACCCAAGAAGTTCATTTTCCATTAAATGAAGTATATTACAAAGCACAATAATTGGATGTGGAATCTTTATTCTGCCAGTAGAAGTATGACTTCGAGTAAAATCACTAAGCTTCAGTTTCTTGTCTGTTACTTGGAGGAGGGGCCCTGCTGCCAGAGCTTTTAAGGGCCACCTGCTTCTAAAATTCTTCAGTTCTGGTAATGACCAGAACCAGCCTTGCCAGTTGTTGGTCACATATGATAGACATAAAGCACCATTCTCAAGACTGAAAATATAGGACTTTATATGTGTATTTTTAAACGTTTATTTTGAGAGAGCACGGGGGCGTGGGGGGAGGGTGGGGGGGTGCTCGTGGAGGGAGAAAGAGAATCCCAAGCAGGCTCTCATCCCAGTTCAAGCACAGAGCCCCTCTTGGCTCCATCCCGCGACTATGAGATCATGACCTGAGCCAAAATCAAGAGTTGGAAGCTTAACCAACCCAGCCACCCAAGTGTCCCCATCTTTATATTTTTAAGATAAAAAAAAAAAAATTTCTTCATATATAATATCTCTTGTGAGTCTTTATTCACCCCTAGGAATAAATTCTGGAATCTCAGTATTCCCTCTTCTCTGAGAACCAGAGTGAAGGGAGATTAAAGTACTTGCTGAGGTGGAAGGTCAGGTGGGAGCAGATGCTGGGTGAATTGGCAGTGCCTCTTTGATATTCATTTGTATTTGAATGTGTCTGAAAAACTTGAGGGCAGAGACCTTGCCCTCCCTACTGTCTAAGCTCTCTATTTAAAAACAATGAGAATATTGAATTCATTAATGCCTTTTCCTTCTGAAAAGGATAATAATAGTCTCTGTTCCTTCTGAAGGGCATTGGTCTGTAGTGGAGGAAGGATTGCTTTAGAATTTACACCTGAGCCGGAGTCCCTTCTCTCTCATTTGCTTTCTAAATGACCTTACGCAAATGAAACAAATTAAAAGTTAAATTGGGATAGTACTCAGTGTTGGAAGGATTGTTGAGATGCCTATGAGAAAGCATGTGAAGCACCTAAAACAAATGTTTGGTGAGCATATGCTAATTCCCCCCCAGATAGTTAAAAGGCAAACTATTTTTAGATGGTTGAAAGAGTATTACTGCATTTAAGCCTACAAAAATGGTACTATTCCATCTCAACGAACACTGCAGACAAATGCTGGTCTGTTTTCAGTGGCTAAATTTCCAGTATCCCGGGAGCCCCAGTTACTTGGGTTTTAGTATCTCTGTCAATAAGACCAGCCCGTTGTATGTTATTCCAGAAGTGATGATTGGTTACCATAATCCTTTTTATGATTTCCTAATGTCTGCTGACTTAAAGAGGTTGATTAATTCAAAGCATGAACTTTTCCATATCAATTTGCATATTTGCAAAGCTTTAAAACCCTCCAAGGATAAGTTTAGCTTTTTGCCTAAAAATGACCAAACTCTATAAATTTCTGCTAGTCCTGTGATCTAGGAAGTTGTTGCTACGGCCATATTGACCAACTAGATGCCTATAAGTAAAAAGGAGACTGCCATTACTTTCTGCTTTTGTATTTATAACTAAGAGTATTGGAAACAATGTGAAACAAGTCATATTCAAATATTCAGTATCTGGTGACTATAGAGAGATGGTCCGTTCTTAGGAATGGATTGGTTTGGCAGATCGAAAATACAGTGTTAACTACACATAAGTTAGGAAAGTTTGTCATGATAATCCTATTTTTCCTAAGGGACTGATACAGTTCAACTATAATGTAGAATATTGGATGGTGTACAAACTACATGTTTGTAGGTTTAGGCTAGGAGTTAAATAGCTAGATAAATATGGTATAAATGATTAGTTGAGTAATGGTGGATAAGAATTTGTAGAGATGATTTTTTTGTTAAATTCTAGATGTTGACATTTGTCAAGATATTAAAACTTTTTTTCTTTTTTCCCCTAGATAAAATTGTAAGGAAAGCTGGCAATCTGACAAATGCTTATGTTTATGAAGTGGGCCCTGGGCCAGGGGGAATCACAAGATCCATTCTCAATGCCAATGTGGCTGAACTTTTGGTGGTTGAAAAGGATAGTCGATTTATTCCTGGATTACAGGTGAGATACTTAAAATGTCTTTTCTAGGAGGTAAAAATCCAATTTAAATTTTCAGGCTATGATTCTTTAACCTGAGGATCTCCAAAGATCATATAGGTTGCTTCTCAGACTGTGGATCTTAGATCCTTTTCCAGAGATTCTCATCCTGTCTCTGGAGAGGTCTAGGAATTGCATTTCTTTCCTCCTTTTTTTTTTTTTTTTTAACATTTATTTATTATTAAGAAACAGAGACAGAGCATGGGGGGTGGGGGGAGAGACAGAGAGAGGAGGAGACACAGAATCTGAAGCAGGCTCCAGTCTCTGAGCTGTCAGCACAGAGCCTGATGCGGGGCTCGAACCCACAAACTGCCAGATCATGACCTGAGCTGAAGTTGGACGCTTAACCCACTAAGCCACCTAGGCACCCAGAGGAATTGCATTTCTAACAAGCATCCCCACATGGTCTGCTGACCACTACTTGAATAAACCTGCTTTATGCATTAATGTTAAATGAGTTGTTTTGTGTGACCCACTTTTTAAGTCTAATAACCATACATGTTCTGGCCCATTCCTTCAAAACTAAGTAAACTAATTAATGCCAATAATGACCCAGTTATTGGCATGACTTCTGAGAACTTCATTTAGATTCAGAAAATCCCTTCTATTAGCAAAAGATGGAGAAAGCCTGGGTTCTTTTAGACTAACTTGTTAAGCTTAGGCATTTGCTAAGAATTTTTTAGATGAAGAAATGACATTGTACCACTGTACACATAGATTTAAGATGAGGTTTGAATGAAATCAAACAGTAGGTGCTATTATATGAGAACAATTTGAGGGGGCTGGGCATGTTTCCCTGGAGAAGAGGAGATTTGAATGAGGGGATTCATAGCTGCCTGTGAAAGGTGGCAGTGAGGAGGACAGCTTATTTTGATTTCTAGAAAAGAAAAAACCCAAATACAAATAAGTGAGAATTGAGGGAGGCAGATGTGGATTTAAAGTAAGGTGGGACTTCTGTTTTTTAAATGGTGGCAAACAACGAAACCCATTATATCAGGGATATTGTAAAGGGAATTCTTCACAGGGGGCACTTAATGGCTTAAGGGCCTTTTGTTTGATTCCTCTGTAATTCTGAAACTTTAGAAGAGCCCTTAGCTTTTGGCTTAGATAAGTAGCAATTTATTGAGTCTAACAGAAAAATAGCTGCGTTATTACTTTCATACAAGAGGCAAATTGGTTTAAAATTGGTACGTTCTAAGGCTTGTGGACGCAATGGTTGAAAAATGTTCAATTTCTGCCAGAACAGTTTGAGGAAATTTGTCTGAAAATCTAGGGCTTTGTGTGCATACAGTGGATTTTTTTTAAAGGAGTTTTTATTTATCAGATTTTGTTATTTGGCTACCTCTAGTTTTTTGCTTTAAAAAGTTGTATGTAGTTTCATATTTCCAGTTTTTTGACAGAATTAGATTTATAACTTAATTTTGGGATTGTCTTATAGTGCGTATTCCTTGATCAGATGTGGAATTTAATACTGATTTTTGCTTTGAACTACTTTCTTCTTTTAAGAACTATATTTCAGTTATAAGTGAAAGTGGGACTATTTTATTTTTAGTGAGATCATCAGATAATTTCAGGTTTTTTTTTTCTTTTTCTTTTTTTTTTTTTTTTAAGTTTTATTTATTTTGAGAGAGAGCAAGAGCAAGGGCCAGCAAGCATGAGCAGGGGAGGGGCAGGGAGAGGGAAAGAGAGAGGGAAAGAGAGAATCCCAAGCAAGGCTCCATGCTGTCAGTGTGGAGCCTGATGAGGGACTCAAACTCACAAACTGAGATCCTGACCTGAGCTGAAATCAAGAGTCAGTAGCTTAACCAACTCAGCCACCCAGGTACCCCTCAGGTTTTTTCATCTAGCCCTTTCTGGACATGAGGAATACTCTTCTGAGTTTATTGCCCTTGAAGAGACTTCTAAGCCTCATTCTTGCCATCTGTTGTGTGTAATTTTTTTCTCATAAGGCAGGGAGGTGAATCAAAATTCTGTCCATCCCCACCGTAATTTACATGTTCTCCTTTCTGATCCCAACTAAAGATCTTTGAAGAGGGACTATTTAAAAGCAGCTACACCCTTCTCTTTTCAACTGCCTGCCCCAGTCCCTGCACCTAACCCCTGCCTCGTTTTATTTGTCTCGTTAGATTGATCATCATCTGATACATTATCAGTATGTCCTTATTTGTTGTTGACCTCACCCCTCTGGAACATACGTGCAAAGAACACAGAGATTTTTGTGTGTTTCCTTCCCTCCTGTATCTCTACCACATGTAACAGTGCCTGGCTTATAGCAAATGTTCAGTAATGTCTTAAATGGGAAAATAAAAGGTTGACTTTATGTGTCTATCTAATCAGCCAACTAAGTGTGTCATTTTTTTTGTAATGTTTGTTTATTTTGAGAGAGGGCGCATGTGGGTGGGCCCCTGAACCGGCGAGGGGCAAAGAGAGAATCCCGAGCAGGCTCTGTGCTGTCAGTGCAGAGCCTGACACAGGGCTCCATCTCCCCACAGTGAGGTCGCTTAATAGTGAAAATGAATAATTGTGTGGCATTGATTATTTAAAAAGTTTTGTGATCTTTTTTTCCAAATACAAAGATTTATTTCAAGGTAAATACTCTGCAAGAAAGGTGCATTTGTCTTACGTGTGTAGAAGCAGCAAAATTAATTCCTAGTGTCTTACATGTAGGAAAAGAATTTGCCTTAAAAAGAAATGTTGGGTACTAAAATATCAAATAGATTTCTTTTTCCTGTAAAGAAGGTTTCAATATATAAAACCACTTTCATTTAGAGGTACTAAATTAATCATAAAACTGAATAAAGGCAGAAAGCGTGATCTGTTTTTAATGATTCCATTTTAGTGGTTTCTGAGCTAATAGAATTACTTTTTAAAGAAATTGTAATAACTTATGTCTTCTAGCTGAAAGTATGTCATTTGTGTCTAAACCAATTCTTACAATATCATCATAAGGCATCTTAGGATCTTGGGGGAATAACACAGTGCTAACATAGGGGTTTCACCATCAGCATGTTGTAAGGTAAAAAACTTGTCTAATATGTGAAAACATGATAATAGAGTTCTGCCTTAAAAGAACAGACTTCAGCATCAGATTGCCTGGGTTTGACTTCAGGCTCCACCGTTTACTGGGTGTCTGACTTTGGGCAGGTAACTATGTCTCTAGGCCTAAGTTTGCTTGTAGGATAGTAATGAGGATTAAATGAATGCCTCATACTTAGTTAACCATGCAATATATTTTTCGATATAAGCAATCAAATTATTCTTGTGCCTTGGGCATTTCTATTGAGGATTGATCATGAGACTGGTAATCTGGAAAGAGGTAGAGGAGAAAAATTATTCCTTTGGATCACTGGAAAGTAAATCCCTAGTGCTGTGGGAACGTTGGAGCTTTCTCCCACCTCCTTGAACCAGCATTGGACATCCAGGGTTTCTTTCTCTAAATATTGTAGCATTCTCTTGTGATTGTGCATGGGGGGGTGTTTATTATATTTTAATTATTTGTTATATTTCTGTGGCTGAGCGGATTCTCTCTGCTTTGGAGGGGAGTGAGCTTTTTTTGATACCTCAAAGAACTTGAAAACTTGATAAATTCTTCTCCCATTTCTGAATTGGAGATAACATCATAAATAATATGTTCTCCTTGAAGTAAGTAATCTGGGTTCTTCATTTTTTATTTTAAAGATTTTATATTTTGGGGCACCTGGGTGGCTCAGTCGGGTAGGCATCCGACTTCGGCTCAGGTCATGATCCTCACAGCTTTATGAGTTCGAGCCCGGTGTTGCGCTCTGTGCTGACAGTTCAGAGCCTGGAGCCTGCTTCAGATTCTGTCTTCCTTTGTCTCTGCTTCTCCCCTGCTCATACTTGCTCTCTCTCTCTCAAAATAAAAACAAATTTAAAGATTTTACAGGTTAATAACAATATTTATGGAGGGTTTACTGCACTAAGTACTTTATTTTTACAGCTGTATTGAGTTAGATGTTCAGTAAGCTGCACATACTGTTAAAAGTGTACAGATTACTGAGTTTTGACAAATACGTAATCTCATGAAACGATTACCACAATCCAGAAAACGAACATTCATCACCTTCAGGATTCCTCATGTTCCCTTATAGTCCATCCCTCCCTCCCCCACCCTTGTCTTTGGCCAACCCTTAGGGCATTTCCGTTTTTTAGAATTTTATGTAAATGAAGTCATACGGTATGTGTTCTTTTCTCTCTGATGTCTTTTACTGAGCATAAGTATTTTGAGATCCATCCATGGTGCAGTTTTTATCAATAGTTAAAATTTTCATTGCCGACTAGTATTCCACTGTATGGATATACCAAATTTATAAATCCATTCCCAGTTGGTGGACTTGGAGTTGTTTTTATCTTTTGCCAATTACATGTAAAGCTGTCATTAACATTCACATGCAAGTCTTTGTGTGAATACCTACTTTGAGTTCTCTTGAGTAAAGAGCTAGATGCGGGATGTCGGAATGTTAAGGCAGGTGTGTGTTAAGCTTCTTGTGAAACTACCAAACTGGTTTACAAGGTGCCTCTACCATTTATCATTCCTGCCAGCTGCGTGCGAGCGTTCGTGTGGCTTCACATGCTTCTCACACTTGGTGTGGACAGTCTTTTAAATTGTAACCATCCTAGTGAGTGTATAATAGTATCTTAATCGGGCTTTTATTTGCATTTTCCTAATCTGTACTTTGGGGCTTATTTTCATGTGTGTATTTGCCATCTGTATATCTTCTTTGGGGAATCGGGCAAATATCCGGACCATTTTTTGTTTTGGCTTCATATTACTGCATTGTAAGACGTCTTTATATAGTTCAGAGACAAGTGTTTTGTACATGTTTTGTAATGCTTCCTCCTCAGATGTGAAGGACTTTTTCATTTCCTTAGACATTTAACAGTGTCTTTCAAAGAGTAAAACTTAGCTTTAAATACAAGTTTGTCAGTTTTTTTCTTTTTGAATT